TTCTGCCCCTTGCCCAGCCGGCAGAAGGCTGCGCACCACCTTGGCTCGTTACGAGTGTGAACAAGACAGCATGGGAGCTGAGCAGCTCATCACAGCCAGGACACCGCTGCTTGCGCCACAAGGACAAGAAAAAAGGGAGTCCCCGGCCCTTCAGAAGCGGCATTTCTGCAGCAGGCGGCGGGCTCTTCCACCGGCCACCACTCACCGTGAGCAGGAGGAACAGGACTCCCCCGCCCAGCAGGGCTGTGCCAATGCCAGCCATCACCAGGTCCCAGGTGCCAGCCTCGGGGTAGACCTCCACCTGCTCCCTTGGCACGGGGTCCGGCTGGAACTGCCCCTCGCTGCGGACAGCCGGCTCCTCCGGGCTGCTCGGGGCCAGAAACTGCAACACATGCCCGGGGCTGGGTGACACCAGAGGGACCGGACCGCTTGGTACTCAGGTTTGGGACCCCCTCCCCACTACAGCCCTGCATGCGGGACCCTCCTCCTCATGCTACCCCACTCTGGGGACCCACCGCCCAGCCCCAGACAGCCCAGACCCTTCAGTGACCCAGCACTGCCCAAGGTTCCCCCCAGTGCAGAGGTGGGACCCAGCGGAGCTCCACTACTCACGTTGTCGAACACGGTCCTGGCAGGAGGAGCCCTGGGGATGATGGTTTCTGTTGTCTTCCTCAGGTTCTCCGGGAAGGCTCGTAGCATCGTAGTGTGGACCACGGGAGGCAGCTCGTGGTGCCCTGCGGTGGGAGGGAAACAGAGACAGCCGTCACCTGGTCTCTGGTCACAGCTTCAATCCCTCATCTCCACAGCGCCGACATGGGCTCGCCAGACAGCTCTGGCTCTCCTGGAGAAGGGGTGTTGCTTCCCGTGGGAGGCACAAAAACCATCACAGCTACAACCTGCTGGCTCCATCCCCAGGGACGGGGACCTGGAGCAGCAGCAGCCAGTGGAGAAAGGCAGAGGGCACGGTCCCCTGCTCTCAGCACGCAGCGGGGGGGTCTGACCCTGCTCCTCTGTGCCTCCCCTGCCATGACCTCAGGACACCACCCTGATTTCCAAACATGCCAATGCAGTGTGGCCTCTCCTGCCATCACACCTGTGACAGCAATCACGGAGCAGGCTAATTAACCCAGCGTCTGTGCGCAGGGCTCGGTGCACAACAGCACACCCACCAGCACAGGTAATTGTGAGCCCCTCTTCAAAGGGTCCCTGCACACCCCCTGGGTAGGGGTGGCCGGCGGCCCCTCCTGGGGAGGGGACAAGGATGGGCTGCAACCAGCCCCAAGCCAGAGTCACCGCAGTCCCTGAGGGTGAGTCACAGCCTCGGTCCCATTTGCCCCACTGAGCAAAGCAGGTTGGGCTGCCACCCCAAAACACACCGGCAGCTCGGGCTGCCCCTCCCCAGGGCACCGTCTGGGAGCGAGGACGCAGGGAAAGCCCATGCCCCTTGTGGATCCGC